TGAGCCTCACTATCTTCATAAAAACTCTTTACAGCATTTAGTAACTTGCCACCTATTCCATATACTTGCAACATCTGTCTCATTGCTCCCCTATCAACTCTATCATATACCTTTTCTAAATCTATAAATGCAATAAAAACTTCCCTACCTTTATCTAAATACTGCTCACATATATGCTTCAATGTAAACACTTGATCTACACATCCCCTACCCACTCTGAAACCTCCTTGCTCATCCGCAATTCTACATTCTGTCTTGCCTCTAATTCTTTCAATAATAACCCTACTGTACACTTTTCCTGGTATACTCAGTAAACTTATTCCTCTATAATTTTTACAATCTCTTTTGTCCCCCTTCCCTGTATATAAAGGGTCTATTCACACTCTCTGCCAATCCCTAGGTGCCTTCCCCTCTCATACATTTATTAAACAAAAATACCAACCACTCCAACACTATGTCCCCCCTGCTTTTAACATTTCTTTCATGATCCCATCAGTTCCAGCTGCTTTACCCCCTTTCATTCTACGTAATGCCTCACGCACCTCCCCCACACTCACATCCTGCTCTTCTTCACTCCTAAAAGAAGTTATACCTCCCTGGCCAGTGCATGAAATTACCGCCTCCCTTTCTTCGTCGACATTTAAAAGTTCTTCAAAATATTCTCGCCATCCACCCAAAACCTCCATCTCCCCATCTACTAACTCCCCTACTCTGTTTTAAACTGATAAATCCAATTGTTCCCTAGGCTTTCTTAACTTGTTTAACTCACCCCAAAATTTTTTCTTATTTTCATTAAAATTCCTTGACAGTACCCCTCCCACTCTATCATCCACTCTCCTTTTGCACACTCTCACCACTCTCTTCACCTTTCTTTTACTCTCCAGATACTTTACTCTTCTTATAACACTTCTGCTTTGTAAATACCTCTCATAAGCTACCTTTTTCTCTTTTATTACACCCTTTACTTCATCATTCCACCAATCACTCCTCTTTCCTCCTGCACCCACCCTCCTATAACCACAAACTTCTGCCCCACATTCTAATACTGCATTTTTAAAACTATTCCAACCCTCTTCAACCCCCCCCACTACTCATACCTGCACCAGCCCACCTTTCTGCCAATAGTTGCTTATATTTCACCCGAACTTCCTCCTCCCTTAGTTTATACACTTTCACCTCCCTCTTACTTGTTGTTGCTATTTTCCTCTTATCCTGGTCTCAGACCGGGCCGCGGGGGCGTTGACCCCCGGAACTCTCTCCAGGTAAACTCCAGGTATCCCATCTACCTCTTACTCTAACTGTAGCTACAACTAGATAATGACCTGATATATCAGTTGCCCCTCTATAAACGTGTACATCCTGGAGCCTACCCATCAACCTTTCATCCACCAAGACATAATCTAACAAACTACTTTCATTACGTGCTACATCATACCTTGTATATTTATTTATCCTCTTTTTCATAAAATATGTATTACTTATTACCAAACCTCTTTCTACACATAGCTCAATTAAAGGCTTCCCATTTTCATTTACCCCTGGCACCCCAAATTTACCTGCTACTCCCTCCACAACATTTTTACCCACTTTAACATTAAAAATCCCCAACCACAAGTACTCTCACGTACTCAAAACTCCCCATGCAATTACTCAACATTTCCCAAAATCAATCTCTCTCCTCTATACTTCTCTCTTCCCCAGGTGCATATACGCTTACTATAACCCACTTCTCACATCCAACCTTTATTTTACTCCACGTAATCCTTGAATTAATACATTTATAGTCCCTCTTTTCCTGCCATAGCTTATCCTTCAACATTATTGCTACTCCTTCTTTAGCTCTAACTCTATTAGAAACCCCTGACTTAATCCCATTTATTCCTCTCCACTGAAACTCTCCCACCTCTTTCAGCTTTATTTCACTTAAAGGCAGGATGTCCAGCTTCTTCTCATTCATTACATCCACAATCATCTCTTTCTTATCATTCGCACAACATCCTCGCGCATTCAGACTTCCCGCTTTGACAGTTTTCTTCTTATTCTTTTTAGTAATTATTACAGGAAAAGGGGTTACTAGCCCATTGTTCCTGGCATTTTAGTCGACTTTAACTACATGCATTACACGCAAACATAAGCCCTCCACTCAAACTTCTCCTCACCAACCTTAACAGGACACACGACCATAACACTAAGACACAGATCTCTTTTTGATGTACCCCGTGTCCATATCACACTGTGTAAAAACTCTATGCACATCAAGGGCCCCAAAATTTGGAATTCATTACCAGAAAATACTAAAGTAACCTGGTCTGAAAATCAATTTAAGACTCTTCTGAAAAAAAAAAACACTCTCTCTGGACTAAATAATCAATACTCGGTATTTAACTTTACCAATAAATCTTCCGTTTACTTAAATCTTAAAACTTCAAGACAACTAATAGCAAATTGATCATCTTGTTATGCCACAGATATATCAGATCACTTTTTAGTTGTAGCTACACTGAGAGTAAAAGGTAGATGGGATACAAGGAGAATAGAAGGGCCAGGTAAGAGAGAGGTGAAGGTTTATAAACTAAAAGAGGAGGCAGTTAGGGTAAGATATAAACAACTATTGGAGGATAGATGGGCAAATGAGAGCATAGGCAATGGGGTCGAAGAGGTATGGGGTAGGTTTAAAAATGTAGTGTTAGTTTTCAGCAGAAGTTTGTGGTTACAGGAAAGTGGGTGCGGGAGGGAAGAGGAGCGATTGATGGAATGATGATGTAAAGAGAGTAGTAAGGGAGAAAAAGTTAGCATATGAGAAGTTTTTACAAAGTAGAAATGATGCAAGGAGGGAAGAGTATAGGGAGAAAAAGAGAGAGGTTAATAGAGTGGTGAAGCAATGTAAAAAGAGAGCAAATGAGAGAGTGCGTGAGTTATCAACAAATTTTGTTGAAAATAAGAAAAAGTTTTGGAGTGAGATTAACAAGTTAAGAAATCCTAGAGAACAAATGGATTTGTCAGTTAAAAATAGGAGAGGAGAGTTATTAAATGGGGAGTTAGAGGTATTGGGAAGATGGAGGGAATATTTTGAGGAATTGCTGAATGTTGATGAAGATAGGGAAGCTGTGATTTCGTGTATAGGGCAAGGAGGAATAACATCTTGTAGGAGTGAGGAAGAGCCAGTTGTGAGTGTGGGGGAAGTTCGTGAGGCAGTAGGCAAAATGAAAGGGGGTAAGGCAGCTGGGATTGATGGGATAAAGATAGAAATGTTAAAAGCAGGTAGGGATATAGTTTTGGAGTGGTTGGTGCTATTATTTAATAAATGTATGGAAGACGGTAAGGTACCTAGGAATTGGCAGAGAGCATGCATAGTTCCTTTGTATAAAGGCAAAGGGGACAAAAGAGAGTGCAAAAATTATAGGGGGATAAGTCTGTTGAGTATACCTGGTAAAGTGTATGGTAGAGTTATTATTGAAAGAATTAAGAGCAAGACAGAGAATAGGATAGCAGATGAACAAAGAGGCTTTAGGAAAGATAGCGGGTGTGTGGACCAGGTGTTTACAGTGAAACGTATAAGTGAACAATATTTAGATAAGGCTAAAGAGGTTTTTGTGGCATTTATGGATTTGGAAAAGGCGTATGACAGGGTGGATAGGGGGGGCAATGTGGCAGATGTTGTAGGTGTACGGTGTAGGAGGTAGGTTACTGAAAGCAATGAAGAGTTTTTACGAGGATAGTGAGACCCAAGTTAGAGTATGTAGGAAAGAGGGAGATTATTTCCCAGTAAAAGTAGGCCTTAGATAAGGATGTGTGATGTCACCGTGGTTGTTTAATATATTTATTGATGGGGTTGTAAGAGAAGTAAATGCGAGGGTCTTGGCAAGAGGTGTGGAGTTAAAAGATAAAGAATCACACATAAAATGGGAGGTCACAGTTGCTCTTTGCTGATGACACTGTGCTCTTGGGTGGTTCTGAAGAGAAGTTGCAGAGATTGGTGGATGAATTTGTTAGGGTATGTAAAAGAAGAAAATTAAAAGTGAATACAGGAAAGAGTAAGGTTATGAGGATAACAAAAAGATTAGGTGATGAAAGATTGGATATCAGATTAGAGGGAGACAGTATGGAGGAGGTGAATGTTTTCAGATATTTGGGAGTGGACGTGTCAGCGGATGGGTCTATGAAAGATGAGGTGAATCATAGAATTGATAAGAAAAGGGTGAGCGGTGCACTTAGGAGTCTGTGGAGACAAAGAACTTAGTCCTTGGAAGCAAAGAGGGGAATGTATGAGAGTATAGTTTTACCAACGCTCCTGTATGGGTGTGAAGCATGGGTGATGAATGTTGCAGCAAGGAAAAGGCTGGAGGCAGTGGAGATGTCATGTCTGAGGGCAATGTGTGGTGTGAATATAATGCAGAGAATTCGTAGTTTGGAAGTTAGGAGGAGGTGCGGGATTGCCAAAACTGCTGTCCAGAGGGCTGAGGAAGGGTTGTTGAGGTGGTTCGGACATGTAGAGAGAATGGAGTGAAACAGAATGACTTCAAGAGTGTATCAGTCTGTAGTGGAAGGAAGGCGGGGTAGGGGTCGGCCTAGGAAAGGTTGGAGGGAGGGGGTAAAGGAGGTTTTGTGTGCGAGGGGCTTGGACTTCCAACGGGCATGCGTGAGTGTGTTTGATAGGAGTGAATGGAGACAAGTGGTTTTTAATACTTGACGTGCTGTTAGAGTGTGAGCAAAGTAACATTTATGAAGGGATTCAGGGAAACCAGCAGGCCGGACTTGAATCCTAGAGATGGGAAGTTCAATGCCTGCACTCTGAAGGAGGGGTGTTAATGTTGCAGTTTAAAAACTGTAGTGTAAAGCACCCTTCTGGCAAGACAGTGATGGAGTGAATGATGGTGAAAGTTTTCTTTCTTTTTCGGGCCACCCTGCCTTGGTGGGAATCGGCCAGTGTGTTAATAAATAAAATAATAACTATGTATCATGTCCAAATGAAGTATTGTAACTAAATCATTTCCTGACAGACAACTACATTTGAATCAACTCATTCGCACATCTGGAGTAGTGACATCAACCACTGGCATCCTCCCTCAACTCTCTGTTGTTAAATATGACTGTAACAAATGTTCTTATGTACTGGGACCATTTGTTCAGTCACAGAATTCTGAAGTGAAGCCTGGGTCGTGCCCTGAATGTCAGAGCAAAGGACCTTTTTCAATTAATATGGAACAGACTATCTACCAGAACTACCAGAGAATCACACTTCAGGAGTCACCCGGCAAGGTAGGTCGTCCTCAGTGTCTGGAATCTCCCAGCAAGGTAGGTCATCCTATAACATAGTGTATTATTTATACTATAGTGTACTTCTTACACAAATAACTTGCACATAGGGGGAAGAAAATGATGACTACATTTGTCCGACTCGGACCATTGATGAGTCACACACAATGGTCCAAGTCAGACTGAAATGTCATCAGTTTCTTTCTTCTGTGTGCAGGTTATTTGTGTATTGTTCCAGTCATGGTATTGTGATTGTTTTATTCTTTAGTGTACTTCTTGTCCTTTAACATTGTTTTCATTTTTAAGGTTGTTTTAAATATGTTGCAGAGTTGATGATCTCTGCAACCATTAGCACAAGTGAAAAACCTATGATCGTATTTACCCTATTTGTCAGTTTGTGTTTGCCTGGGTTGAATCCTACCTCCTGTCCCCACCTCTTTAAGTTTCATCATTCAACATTACTGGCTTCTGACCTCTTGAACTCTTTCATATCTATACCACCAAGGCAGGGTGACCCAAAAAGAAAGAAAATCCCCAAAAAAGAAAATACTTTCATCATCATTCAACACTTTCACTACACTCACACATAATCACTGCTTTTGCATAGGTGCCCAGATATAAGAGTTTAGAAGCATATATAAAGATGAACAGTGGTACCCTGGATTTCGTATAGCTCCCAACTTGAACGATTGTGTAAGTGTATTTTTGTAGTGCTTTTGTAAGTGTATTTTTGGGGGTTGGAAACGGCCTAATCTAATTTACATTCATCCTTATGGGAACAAATTCGTTTGGTAACGGCACTCAAACAGCCTTCTGGAACGAATTATTGATGAAATCCGGGATACCACTGTATAACATATCCCTCCAAACTGCCAATATCCCAAAACCCCTCCTTTAAAGTGCAGGCAATGTACTTCCCATTTCCAGTACTCAAGTCCGACTATATGAAAATAACCGGTTTCCCTGAATCCCTTCACTAAATATTACCCTGCTCACACTCCAACAGATTGTCAGGTCCCAAGTACCATTCGTCTCCATTCACTCCTATCTAACACGCTCACGCACCATGGTGACATTACACATCCCTGTCTAATACCTACATTTACCGGGAAGTAATCTACCCCTCTTCTACACACCCTAAACTGCACATCACTATACTCATAAAAACTCTGGTGGCCTGGTGGCTGGGCTCTGGTGGCCTGGTGGTTAACGCTCTCGCTTCACACGGTGAGGGCCTGGGTTCGATTCCCAGCCAGAGTAGAAACATTGGACGTGTTTCTTTCAACCTGTTGTCTATGTTCCCCATCAGTAAAATGGGTACCTGGGTGTTAGTCGACTGGTGTGGGTCGCATCCTGGGACACTGACCTAAGGAGGCCTGGTCACAGACCGGGCCGCGGGGGCGTTGACCCTCGGAACTCTCTCCAGGTAAACTCCAGGTTACCATCTATTCCATATACTTGCAACATCTGCCACATTACTCCACTATCCACTCTATCATATGCCCTTTCTAAATCCATAAACATAATGAAAACTTCCCTACCTTTATCTAAATACTGTTCACATATATGCTTCAATGTAAACACTTGATCTACATATTCCCTACCCACTCCAAAGCCTCCTTGCTCATCCTCTGGTTCTTTCAATAATAGCCCTACAATACACTTTTCCTGGTGTACTCGGTAAACTTCTTTCCCTATAATTTTTACAATCTCTTTTGTCCCCCTTCCCTTTATATAAAGGAGCTATACATGCTCTCTGCCAATCCCTAGGTACCTTCCCCTCTTTCATACATTTATTAAACAAAAATACCAACCACTCTAACACTATATACCCTCCTGCTTTTAACATTTGTCATGATCCCATCAGTTCCAGCTGCTTTACCCCTTTCATTCTACATAATGCCTCATGCACCTCCCCCACACTTACATCCTGCTCTTCTACACTCCTAAAAGATGTTATACCTCCCTGGCCAGTGCATGAAGTTACCACCTCCCTTTCTTCATCGACATTTAAAAGTTCCTCAAAGTATTCCTGCCATCTACCCAATACCTCCATCTCTCCATCTACTAACTCCCCTACTCTGTTTTTAACTGACAAATCCATTCGTTCCCTAGGCTTTCTTAACTTGTTTGTCTCGCTCCTTTTTCACCAAAATTTCTTGACAGTGCCTCTCCCGCTCTATCATCTGCTCTCCTTTTGCACTCTCTCTCTCCACTCTCTTCACCTTTCTTTTACTCTCCATATACTCATATACACAGTGAGGTGTATGTCTTAGTATATATACACTGGAAGTTAACATGAACAGGTGACATTAAGCTATAATGACCCTCATGTAGTAGATAGATTTTAAACTCGACTATCCTAACCTACTACCCAGACCTACATGGATTTACTGCTTACTTTTAATACGATTATGTGTGTTTGCCAGGTTGCAGCTGGTCGTCTCCCTCGTTCTAAGGATGTTATCCTCCTAGGTGACCTATGTGACTCTTGCAAGCCTGGGGATGACATAGAGGTGACTGGAGTGTACACTAATAACTACGATGGGTCACTCAACACAAGTCAGGGATTTCCCGTATTTGCTACCATAATAATGGCCAATCACATTGCCAAGAAGGACAATGCCAATGCTATTAAAGGTTTGTTAAGAGAACAATGCCAGTATTATTAAAAGTTTTAAAGAACAACAATGTCAGTATTATTAAAGGTTTGATTAAGGAAAGTGCTATTTGGGTTAAAGCATCTCCCTCTCAGTGGCAAATATTTTATTTTTCAATGGGGTAATTTTGACTGTATTGACCAGTGATCCCAAAAGCACACTAGTGTAAGAAATTTGTACAAATGTACTGAAAATCATTTGCTTTTCACATTAATTCTTTGACTTTCTATAAGCTTCTTATGGATTTTAACCCTTTCAGGGTTTCCGATGTACAGTGGTCCCTTGATAATTGTACGGCTCAGTAGTCGTAATTTTCGAAAATCATAACATTATTTTCGTCAAAACATTGGCTCACGAATCGTCGTTTGACTCGCAAATAGTTGTTCCTCTGGGACGCGTACACACAGCCCTGAGCCGCCTCACACTCCATTCCCAGCCAGTATGCCACTGTTTATCAGTGAGTGAGGATGATCCCACGAGTTCATACAATACAGTTCATAATATTCCACTCGTTTTAGTGTTTGCAATTGCTAAATAAGTCACCATGGCTCCAAAGAAAGCTTCTAGTGCCAGCCCTTTGGTAAAGAATATGAGAAACACATAATTTAAGAAAAAAATTGTAGAAAAATATGAAGGTGGTGGTGGAAGAGTGGAAGCAGTGATAGTGGTAGAGGGTGATAGTGATGGTGGTAGAGGGTGGTGGTGGTGGTGGTAGAGGGTAGTATGATGGTAGTGGTTGTGATGGTGGTGGTAGAGGGTGCCTTCTTCAGTGATTTCAGCATTCTACCAACTCCTCCAATGTTCTTCTTTCAACGTACCATTCGTATCCCACCCAGGTAGGGTGGCCCAAAAGGAAAAAGAAAAGTTTCTCCTTTTAAATTTAGTAATATATACAGGAGAAGGGGTTACTAGCCCCTTGCTTCCGGCATTTTAGTCACTTTTTACAACACGCATGACTTACGGAGGAAGAATCCTCCAATGTTGTTGGAGTTATATAGGGCTACAGAAAACACTGCCGCTTCAGCTGCTGCTTCACCACCATTATGGACGGCTTACTCTGTGGCCCTTATATACCCAACAACAACACAACACAACACCTCTCGTGATATACATAATGACTTATTTTATTCATTCTAGAGTATATTCCATGTTTCTATGTTATTAATATTGCTTATTATGTCATATTAGTTGAATTGTGTTAGTTAAATAAGCCGTAGAGTTGATAGTGTCATATTCTCCAACAATAAACTTGCCATCCCTCCCTCACACAAACAAGTCTTCAATAAAGGTAAGTGTGATGTTAAATAAGAACATAAGAACTTAAGAAAGGAGGAACACTGCAACATGCTTGCTGGCCCATACTAGGCAGGTCCTTCACAAAACCAACCCACTAACAGAACAAATGCTATCCAAGCAATAAGCTCAGGTGCAAGTCCGACTCAAATCCAACCCCTCTCACTCGTGTATTTATCCAACCTATATTTGAAACTACTCAAGCCATAGCTTTTAGAACATAAGAACATAAGACATAAATAAGATTCCAAGGACATAAATGAGATTCCAGAAATTAACAGTTATTCAGTTCCTGATGAATTCAAATTAACTAATATTACTGTTACGAGGGACATGGTTATCAAACAGATAGACAAACTGAAGCAGTTGTGATAGTGGTTGATGGTGGTAGTGATGGTGGTAGAAGGTAGTTGTTAAATTAGACACATGTGCAACTCTTGGGTATCTTTATTGAGGAAACATTTCGCCACACAGTGGCTTCATCAGTCCATCATCAGTGGTGAAACGTTTCCTCAATAAAGATACCCAAGAGTTGCACATGTGTCTAATTTAACAACGTGTCGGTTCTTTGAACCATTCTTCTACAAACGTAGAAGGTAGTAGTGATGGTGGTAACAGTTGTAATAGTGGTAGAAGGTCATAGTGATGGTGGTAGAGGGTTCCTTCTTTAGTGATTCAGCGATTCTACCAACTCCTCCAATGTTGTTGGAGTTATGTAGGGCTACAGAAAACACCGCCGCCTCAGCTGCTGCTTCACCACCATTATGGACGGCTTACTCTCAGTGGCCCTTGTATACCCAACAACACAACACAACACAACACCTCTCGTGACATACGTAATGACTTATTTTATTCATTCTAGAGTATATTCCATGTTTCTGTGTTATTAATATTTTATTCATTCTAGAGTATATTCCATGTTTCTGTGTTATTAATATTGTTTATTATGTCATATTAGTTGAATTGTGATAAATAAATAAGCCGTAGAGTTGATATTAGTGTCATATTCTCCAACAATAAACTTGCCATCCCTCCCTCACACAAGTCTTCAATAAGAACATAAGAAGGGAGGAACACTGCAGTAGGCCTGTTGGCCCATACTAGGCAGGTCCTTTACAATCCTTTCCACTAAGAACATAACAATGGAAGAACACTGCAGGTCTACTGGCCCATACAAGGCAGGTCCTTATCAAAATGACCTCTACCCAAAGCTACCCAAGAATTTACTCCCGTACTCAATGACACAAATCAAACTTAGCTCCTCCCACTCATATATTTGTCCAATCTCTTCTTAAGGCTACCCAAGATCACCCTACTGGTAAGTGTGATGTTAAATAAGAACATAAGAACTTAAGAAAGTAGGAACACTGCAACATGCTTGCTGGCCCATACTAGGCAGGTCCTTCACAAAACCAACCCACTAACAGAACAAATGCTATCCAAGCAATAAGCTCAGGTGCAAGTCTGACTCAAATCCAACCCCTCTCACTCATGTATTTATCCAACCTAAATTTGAAACTACCCAATGTTTTAGCTTCGATCACCCTACTAGGCAGACCGTTCCACTCATCAACTACCCCTATTACCAATGTTCATTTATACATTTTATTAGTGCTTTACATTTATTTGGTATTTTTTTCTGCATGTAAATCTATATTTATGCTAGGGAAGTGGCTAGGGAAGTGACCCCTGAAGTGACCTAGAGTCCTTATGGAGGAGGATTCCCCTTCCAAACAATACTCTCTCTTCCCTCTCTCCTCCTCCCTGTCTTCCATCCATCAACAACAGCCTTCAATAAAGGTAACTGTCATGTTGAATGTTCATTCTTTTGTGCATGTAAATCTATCTTTTAGGTTGATACTTCTGGGTGTCTGGAACGAATTAATTGGATTTACATTATTTCTTATGGGGAAAATTGATTGGAAAATCGTCTATTTCGATAATAGTCCCACTTCCAGGAACGGATTAAGGACGATAATTGAGGGACCACTGTAGTTAGTTGTCGAGGTGGATCAGGGAGATAAGATGTTTTCTAACTGTAGTTTTGAAAGTGATGAATGTGTCTGCAGTTCTAGAGTTTTCAGGTAGGGTGTTCCAGATTTTAGGTCCTTTGAAATACATTGAATTTTTGTAAAGGTTTAGTCGAACTCGGGGAATGTCAGAGATGTTTGTGTCTGGTGTTATGCCTGTGGATCCTGTCACAACTATCAAGAAAGTGTTTTAGGTCAAGGTTAATTTTGGAATTTAAGGTCCTGTTCTTATGATAAAGCTCATGGAGCAGAGAGAGAGTGGACCTAGTGGCAACTAGTGAAAAGTAGGGGCCAGGAGCTGTGAATTGACCCCTGCAACCACAAATAGGTGAATACTGTGCCAGCAGTAACATGTAATGAACAGTGTGTGCAAACAATAGCATTATACGATGAGTTGTGTGTGCGAACAACTTTACATAATGAACAGCGTGCAAACAATAATTTGCAATGAACACTGTGCAACCAATGGGCTGATGCTCCACACACCTCAAAATAGGCCAAACAATTTTTTTTTTGCCAAGTGGCAGATCAACCAGGCTACGATGGATATGTGGGTCAGTGGGCCACCAGCAGCAACAGCCTGGTTGACCAGGCTAGCACTAGACCAGCCTGAACTATGGCTGGGCTCCGGGAGGTAGGAAGAGTCTTGCAACTCATCAAAGGTAAAATTATATTGATTATTGTGAATAACGTATACATGTAGGCTCGATTCTTGCAAATGTTGAATACTTTGGAGTGGTCACACTATCCGGATTTGCATTTTCTGAATTGATTTGCCACACTTATTGACTTGACTGAATGACTTAAAGTTGGACTTTTTCACTGAAGAGGACCTTGAAATGGTGTCAGGAGCAGCTAATGCATTACCATCAATTGTATAATGTACTGCAGGGTAAAATAGAACAGAAATCCATTACAGAATTTATGCACACTCCAGTACAACCATCAACTTCAGTACCAGAACCTCTACCATCCACCTCAGCCCAGTAGGACCACAACATAACTCTACACTCTCTTCACAATCATCCACAAACACCAGCACCCACAATTTAAGAAATACTATTATTTCTGATGCTGTTATAGTCGTAAGCAGTAAAAACAACATAATACATCACGACAATGAAATACAATTATATATTCACTTTTACTTTTGTAAGGTATGGAGGTCTAAAAAAAAGTTGTTTGAGGGGAAAGCTCGCATCCTGAATTTTTGCTCGTATCCAGAAACAAAAAATCGACCAAGCAACTGCTCATATCCTGAAAAACCCATATGGTGGGGCACTTGTAAGCTGAGGTTCCACTGTAATTTGAATTGATTTGAATTTACACTATTTGAAGGTAGTATATCAGAGGAAAGGTAGGACTTTTTACCAAGTACCTTTATACCTTCAATGTGCCTTTGATGGGTTTACAGAGATTACCTTTCCCTATAGCCCAGCCCTGGGCATGCCTTGGGCCAGGCTGGTTTGGTGCTGGCTCGATCAACCGGGCTTTTGCTGATGGTGGCCCACTGCTCCATATATTCATCACAGCCCAGTTGATCTGCCACTTGGTAAAAAAAAAAAATGGTGTATTTTGAGGTGTGGAGCATCAGCCTGTTATTTGCATAGTGTTTATTATGTGTTATTGTTTGCACACTGTTATTTACATATTATTG